ATTAACGGAAAATAACTATATAAAGTTAAATAAGTATTTAAAGTAGTAGATGGAGAATTTTAATTAAGGACTTTAGTATATACTAATTAACTTGGTAAAAGCTAAGTTAGTAGTTTTTATGAACGGATTATTTGCTAATAATGCTAACCTTAGCTTATAGATTAAATTTATAATTATTTTAATGGTTAAGGAGGTAAATAATAATAAGATATATTAGGATTTAATTGGTAATATTATTTACTAGTCCTTTACTAAGTGTAAATATGTTATAAAAAGTATATTAGCATTTAAAATTTACGGGATAGTTAATAAATTTAATATAGTAATAATTATTTTTATTATATTCCGCAAGGTTATTAACCGGCTTAAAATAAACCGTATACCTTTTATTGTTTATATAAACTTATTCTTGTTATATAAATGCCTTGTTAAGCTAGGAATTATAAAAGAGAAATGCTTAATAATTAACGTGATAGTATTTTATTAATTTTATAAATAAAGAGAGATTGATGAAATTTGCTAGATTTATGAGGATAATAACCTTATTAATATAATAATAAAGTTAATATTAAATAAAGCTTTAAAGAAGCTTGTTTTTACTAATAAGCTTTGCCTTAAAGTATAAGAATATATTAATTAAAAGGTATTAAAGCCTAGTTTTTAAGGTTATTTGTAAAAATACCTTTAAAGTAGTTAGTTGGCTTGGCAAAATTAAAGAGTGCTAAAATTTATAAAAAAGTGAAATAAAGGAATTTATAAGCTAAAAGTAGAATAATAATTAAAGGAAAGATTATAAAGTTGTGGATTATAGCAAAAAGAATTAGTAAAAGTTTAAATTTATATTATACTAGTTGCTTATATTTTATTTTATAAGATAGTACTATTAGTTAGCAATTAGCTTTATATTTCTTTTAAGGGCGAACCTTGTAATTAAGGTTTAAATTAGTAGCTTATGCTAATAGGGTTGAAAAGTATGTGTATTATTTACTATTATATGGGCATTTAAGTTGCCAGCTTATATATAATAAGTGTCCTTAGCTGGATTTTATAATTATAGTACTTATATTATTAATTTATTTAAAAAGTATTATGCTATAATATAACTAATAATAATAATATAATAATAATATAATAATTTAATAATAAAGTTTTATTTTAGGGGAATTATAAATAGCTAAGCTTTTTATTTTTTATTAAATAATTTATAATATTAGGGTTAGGATTATAAAAGTTTATAAAGGTTTATAAAGGTTTAGGTTTATATTTATTTATATTATTTTATAAATGGTAGGAGTATAAGCCTATATATGTATTTAAAAGTAGTTGCTTATATACTTAAATTTGGGATTTGGGGTAAATGATTTTTTTAAAATTAGGAAATTTATATGGGGAAAATGGTATATTATTGCCAACTTTTTAAAATAGTAATTAGAACTAGAATGTATAAATTAGGCCTTTTTAATAATAATAATAGCACTTTATATGTGCCTTTATTTAATAGTAATATGGTAAAGTAGGAAGTTGTGGGACTTTAAATTAAAATATAGAAGGGTTTAAGGTTTAATTTAACCTTAAAGGATTTTTTTTTTCTTATATTTTTTTTTATAAATTTTAAATAAATTGGCATTATAATTTTAAAGATTGCTAATATGAGTTAAGCCAATTTAATAGGTTAATAATGGTAAGTAGGCTGTGCCTACTTATATAAGTAAGTGTATTAAATAGGTTGCCTTATTAGGCGTGGTTTTGCCACACCTTTTAAAGAGGCGATATATATAACTAAGATGAATATAACTATATTATAAATAACCTTTATTTCTTTTATATACATATATAGAAAGCCAACTAATAAATATATTAAAAATAAATAATTTTTATATTATTTAAACTTATAATAAGTTAAAATTTATTTTAAAAAGGTAATATAAGAGGGTATTATTATTCTACTTTAAGAAACTTTAAAAATTTTATTTTTATAATTTTATTTATTAATTTATAATATTTTTAATTAGTTTTTAAAGGACAGTTATTTATATTTTATAAGTTATTTTTAAAAAAAAATAACTTTAAAGTTATAAGTTAAAGGCTTTATTTATTATATTTATTATTTTTAAAGAAACCTTTAAATTAAAGTATATTAGATAGAAAAGCTATTATTTATTAATATTAAATATAGTATATTATAATAATCTTTAATTAAATTATAAAGGATTTTCTTTTAAATATTATTTAAATTTTTATTTAAATTAAACTTTATTAATTAAAGAGTATATAAATTAATTATAATGTATAATTAAAAGATATTAATTATTATAATCTCTTTTTTAAAGAAAATTAATATTAAACTTCTAATAGTAGTTAATTATTTATATTTAATATAGAAATCTATTATTTCTTTCTATTATTTAATAAACTATTTTAAAACTTAGAGTTTTAACCCTTTTAAAAAGTTAAATAACTATTAGAATTATTTATAAATATATTTATTAAGGTATTAATAAGTTAAATTTAAAATTATATTAATTTATTCTTTTATATAAGTAAGAATAAGAGTTTTATATTATTTATAATTTTTTTAGAAGGATTTTATTAAATAAAAGTTAATAATTAATTTAATAATAAAAGAATTCTTTTAATTTAAAAGTTAATAATAATAATAAAATAAATAGAAAAAGTTTATTATAATATAAAGAGAATAATACTTTATAATATATTAATTATAATAAAAGTTATTTAATTAAAAGATTATATAAAAATATTTTATATAAAGAAGAAAGGATATTTTTATTTATTTAAAAAGTTTTTATATATATATTATAAAAGCTTATAATTTAATTATTTTACTTTATTTCTTTATAATTTTAATATAACTTAATATAATATAGTTAAAAGAATTTAAATTTATAAGAGTACTTTTTATATACTTTTAAAAGAAAGTATAGTATATTTTTAACTTTATAAAGTTAGTTAAGTATTAAATATATAAGAGTTAAAATTAGGAATTTTAGGAATTTAAGAAGACTTTAAAGAGCCTTTCTTACTTAAATCTTAAAGTAAAGAGATAATTTTTATAACTATTTTTTAATAAATTTAAAGGGTATATAGAGTAATTTTAAGCTATTTATTTACTATTTTTAAGGAATAATTATTAGAGACTTTAATAATATTAATATCTTTAATTAAATTATAAATAGATTTAATATAAAAAAGGAGTTAAAGTTAATAAAAATAAAGTTAATATAATTATTATTAAAGCTTTTAAAGATTAAATTTAATAAATTAAAGTAATCTTTAAATAGATTACCCTTATTATTTAAAGTAGTATATATAAAATAATATATAAAGTCTTTTAAAAATAAAAACTATTTATAAACTTTATAATTATTATTTATAAATAATATAATAATAAATAAAAAGTAATTCTAAGATAAAATACTTTAAATTATTTTAAATAATAAAATATAATAATAATATTTAAAAATTAATAAAATAATTAAAAAATAGTTAAAAATTAAAAAAGAGAGTCTACTAAAGACTTAATAAAGTTAGTTATTAAAGGGAAGAAAAGAGAAAATAAAGATAAAAAGAGAGAGATAGTTATTTAAAAGGAAGGTTAGTTAATCTATACCCTTATAAAGATATAATAAAGATTATAAAAAAATTTAATAAGTTACTAAAATTAATTAATAATAATAAATAAAAAAGGTCTTTAAAAAATATAAATAAAAATAATTAATATTAACTAATAATAATAGCTAAAAATAACCTTTTAAAGAGAAATATAATTATAATAATTAAGTAGAAGTTATAAAGAAGTACTCTAAAGGTACCCTAATACCTAGCTATACCCCTTCTTTAAGCCCTTTAAAAGGTAGGTAATACCTATTTATCTCTTCTTTAAAAGAGATAAGAATTAGTTTTATATTAGATTTAAATTTAATAGATTTTTAAACCTCCCTTTATCTATACTATTATACTTAGTGTTATAGCCTGCTATATTTATAAAAAAATATTTATTAATAATTAAAGTTTTAATTATATAAAAATAAACTTTTATTTTAAAAAAGTTATTAATATTTAAAATAAATAAAATATTTTAAAAAGTTTAAAATTGTAAATTATATATAATATAAATTAACTTTTTAAATATAAAATTAAAAATTTATAATTATAATTTTATAATTAGTTTTTATTTAATTATATTATTATAATTTTATTTAACTTTATTTAAATTCTTTTAGTTTTTTAATTCTTTTTCTAAAAAAGTTGAATATAAAAAGAACTTTTAAATTTAAATTTAAAATCTTTAAAAATTTTAATTTTTTAAATTAAATTTATAATTTTTAATATTTTTAAAAATATATATTAATTATTTTAAATATTAATAACTTTTTAAGTAAAATTTATTTTATATAACTATAAATTTAATTATTTATAACTATTTTTCTTTTATTTATAATAAAGTATAATTATTTTATTTAAAGATTATCTTTTAATTTAATTAAATAATTAAATTTAAATAATTTTATTTATATTTATTTTAAATAGATTATATTTATTTAAATTATATAATAATTTTATAAATAATATTTAATAATATTAAAATTTATTTATAATTTATAATAACTTTAACTTTTAATAAATATAATTTAATATATTAATAGAAAAAGTATTTTTAATAATAAATATTATTATAAATATAAATTATTAAATTATTATAAAAGTTTTATATAATAAATTTAATTAAATAAACTTTTAAAAATATATTATATTTTATTGTTTTAAAACTTTAATTATTTATTTTTAATTTAATAATAAAATTAAAAAAATATTAATAATTTATATATTTTTATATTTTAAAATTATTATTATATTATAAATAAATATTATTAATATTATAATTTTTTTATATTTATAAAATAAAAATAAAAAAGTTTATATTTTTTATTTAAAATAAAAATAAACTTTAATAATTCCTTTAAAAGTAGATTTTAATAATTCTTTATTTAATAAAACTTATATCTATAAACCTTAATATATCTATCTATCTCTAATATCACGGGGGAAAAAAGAGGAAGGCTTAATAATCGGTAAGAACGGAACCTATGTGTGCTTGTCTCGATCTATTAATACTTTGCCCCATAGTATAAATGAAGCAATAATAAGCACACTAAGACGACAATTAATCTTTTCCACATAAATATACGAATGAGTCTTACATAGTAAAAGAATACATGCTATCACTATGCTCATACTTCTAGCTAGAATACTGGAATGAGGAGAAAAGGAGTTCATTCCCGGAAATTCATGCCACTGTTTGAGCGCTCTGGCACTGGATGAACTGCCGAATTTCTAGGCTAGTTGGCTCAGCCAGGCCTCCAGATCCGCCATGACACGCTCTCCGAGGGAGACATCGAACAGGCAATCCTGCCAGCTCGCACCAACGCACAGTCTCTCGCCGGCCACCGTCATGGGCGAGATGTTGATCGCAGCCGCAGTCGTCTCGGTGCTTAGGATGAACTGCGCTCTTCGAAGCACCCAGCTGTCGTCGCCGTTACCAGCCGCCGGCGCCGGCAGTGATGGTGCGCTGTTGCCGTTGGTGGGGTCGGTCTTCGATAACGCCGGGTCGAGGACGCCGATTCCTGAGACCCACCACGAGAACTGCCGGGGTCTGTGAGATGCCTTGGTCATCTCTTGTTGCCAGTCACCTATGAACCTCATCATCCCAACCATATCGTTCTTCAGGCCCGTTTGAACCCTATCCTCTAGCTCTCTCCGCACCCTGGCAGCAGTCGACCAGACCAGATCAGTAAGCTCAGGCGATAACACCGCCGTCTCTGCTTTAGGGCCGTCGGGAGCCGTTGTTGGGGGTGAGAGCAAGGACCGAAACTGGCTTATGATGCCACGCTCAAACTCATGAGACATGATTGTTACAAAATTTCCCATAGTACTCTGGGGCTCAAACCATGGGTAGGTCCTCCCGGGGGCTTTCGGGTCTATGTATCGCCGCATATCTACGGTGGTGCCGCTTGTAAATGCAGGTGCAGCCTCCTCTGTAAGTTGCGAAGCGAGAGAGGTGAGCGTTAGGATATGTAGCAGCCCGGTGAGTGTGGTCTTGTGCTGTCGGCAAGCAAACAGGACTTTCCGCAACGGCTCGGCGTCAACTGTGAAGGCGCGATAACTTAGCGAGACCTTCAACTTCGACGCGGGGCCAATGTCTGAGCGCGGAGCGCGATCACCAATCTCATGAGCGAGCTTCACCGAGCGATCAAAAGCGAAGCGCCACCACCCTGCCCACGACCATGGTGAGTGAGTGAGTGAGTGAGTGACTGACCTGTGAAGGCGCGAACCTGTGTTTTGAACGGGCTTGAACGTGGCGGTATTGGTGCCCATCTTGCAATTGTTGACTTGAATGTTGTTGGCCCCCATTCATTCCACAGCGTTTTGAGAATAAAAGGGACCGTTAGAGGTAGTTTGCAGATTTCCTCAACAGGTGGCGGTAGTTCTGGAGGTGAGTCTGGCAGTTTGATGGTTGAGCGATCATCGGTGACATTTTCTGCGTCTGTGCCAACGCTGTTGAGGGCTTGCAGAAGGCCCGAGTGGAATATTTTGCCACTCATTCCGTCGCAATGAGGATGGTTCCAAGTGAATACTATCTCCAAAATGTTTGTCTGATGGAAGTGTATGACAACAATCCTCCACCCTGGCCGACGATCAAGCTCAGGATAGGTAGCGTCGACCTCATCCGCAAGGAGGTCCTGTAATTCTTTCTCGAAAGCTGAATCGAGATCAGACTCCTTGAAATGCCATGTGACGTGGTGGCGGAGGTTGAGAGTCTCGAGCTGAACCCATCTGGGGCTTTGAGACTCCGCATCCGCAATTGCAACCTGCAAAACAGGATGATTGAGCACCGTATCAATAATGGCTCTTTCAACGACTTGAACCAGCTTGTTTCTTGACTCGGTGCCAGATCTCGAGAGACTCGTGGGAATCGAGTAGCGGCCTGATACCGAGGTGCCTCGATATTGGTCCAGCAGATACATGGCCAGCTGGTATATCTCACTGTGCGTGTCAGTTTATATTTGGTGATTTATAAAACAAGTAGCGGCCGGGAGAGAACGAACTTGTTTCCAAGCTTGCGGAGCAGCTTCGGCTCTGCGTGGTCTGTTGTGCGTGTTTGCTTTGGCTGGTCCATCATGAAGCTCTCGTTTGATGTGCTCATCTGTGCGGGCTGCCTGGTTAGCAGTTGAGGTTCCTAAAATTCAGTTGTTGTTGCATGTGGCTTACCCAGGTACCCTTGACGCGTCCGATGTGACTTGGGAGGTTAAATCTCTGTGACGAGGGGCCGCGAGTGAAAATGTGGAAAAACTGCCTGAGGTGAGTCTCTGCTCTCACAAAGTCAGACGAGCATGGTATGGAAATGGAGGGAGGGTTTCACAAACGCCAAGGGTTGCTCATAAACCTGAGTCCGAGCTGAAGTCACTTTTGATAAACACGAGATGATGATATGTTGACTCATTCCTTCCCGAGCCGTTTATTGACGTCTCGCGTACATGTACTTTAGTGCTGTTGGTACCACACCTTGTCATACGGTGCGAATGATGGACTGTGTCGGGTGTGAATACACATCAGCCACAGCGCGAACACAACTGCACATCAATAAACGGCACAGCTGCACCTTGACTTGCACCTCCGACTGTGATTGGACATAAGCACAGACAGCCCCCAACAGCTCGCCAGTAGGCCTCCACTAGCCCCCAAAAGTTCCCCTTGGCAGTACCGTGCGACCTTCCAGATCGGTATTTTGCGATAGTGCAGGCCGTCAAATGGCGTCGTACCAATGCACGTTCCCTGGGCCGGAATGGGAATCCTGCGTGGAAGGAGTTGCCCAGCCCATGTTCATACAGAGGGCCAATGACAGCAAGGAATCTCATCGCCCGTATACCTAGGGTACCACGAGGAAGCAGAGCAGACACACCAGTATGCAAGTAATCTCGGTCTTGAACCAGTGGCTATTGCATCTCATCATGCAACGAGGTTCGAACCCGTAGCGACGCATGTAAGAAACGGGGTCACTTCCATCAGTCCTGCCGGAGCGCCTAGAAGGATCAAAAAGATGGTGTACACTTGCAGGCATCCCAGAAAAGTCCAAATCGGCCCCTCGGGTGCGATTGACCTTTTTGGTGGCTTGCCTCCTTGTGCCCTTGGTGCTAATACATGATCACAAGCTGCGCCACCGTCGATGGCATGGCGATGTCTCTCTGCCTGAACTGCACAATCCCTCAGACCAACCAAGATGTCTGCGACGACTTTGACCGATCTCGACGGCCCCGCGATCGAGCCGCCTGACGGGGTTACTCCCAACTTTGAGATTCAGAATCGGCATCATGCCGTGGGGTACTTTGTCCTGATATTTTGTGCAATTCTTTCCACCCTAGCTGTCATACTTCGCCTGGCTTCCAGGTACCACATTGGGAGATTCCATATTGAAGACGTCTTCTTCATCATGGGATACGTAAGTTCCAGGCTTTCTGGGCACAGATCCACTGGGTCCCGCTGATCAACTCCAGGGGATCTTTGCCGGATATCTATATCCGATCTACGAGGTTTCGATATGGCCAGGTGTCCAAGTTCACCAGTGGGACATAAAATTAAGAGACATATCGCGTGTCAATTGGGTATGAGGCTCAATCACTCCCCAATCCATCGACCGTGGACCGCAGGATAATACTCACGAGTTCAAAAGATGATTCACCTCGGATCGATCAACTACGGAATGTCGATATTGTTTGTCAAGCTCGCCATTCTGCTCGATTGGTTGCGCATTTTCGTGCCCTTGGGCCAGAAGAACAAGATGTACTGGATGTTCCACGCCTTAATATGGGGAAATATCATCTATTACGTCTCTGGAACCTTTCTTGAAATCTTTCGATGTTGGCCAAGACAGAAGATTTGGGACCCCTTGTTTGAAGGAGGCAGCTGTCCAATCGACATCGCAGCCAACAACTTCGCGTCCGCCCTTATCAATTTGGCGTCTGATATTGCCATCCTCCTGCTTCCTCAGTGGATTATATGGAAGTTGCACGTGTCGAAGTCCAAGAGAATAGGTATATCGCTGCTATTCGTCATTGGCATCTTGTCAGTATTCGCCTGCACATGAACATGGTATTACTTCTAATTGTCCAGAACTGACTTGCTTGGTTCACCCACAGCGCCACCGGCGCAGGAGTTGCCCGTCTGGTCTACCTTCTGCAGCTGCTCGACTCTGATGACGAGTGGTACTGGATATCAAGTGTTGCCCTCTGGGGCGTTGGAGAGATCACAGCCGGACTTCTCATCACAGGCATTCCCGGTATCCCTAAAGTTGTCCAGAGCATTCAGTCCTCGGAATCCTTCACGCAACTGCTAAGTCGACTTGGAATCTCCACCTCGCGACTGCAGTCTGAGCCCTCAGGCGGTCGGCCCAGTCTCAGGACTTTTGGCAGGAACCAGACGCCACAGAAGCGACGCGGGCTGTGGGATATCAGCGACGCAGATACTTATGGCCTTGTATCAGTGCAGGCGATACCTGTTGACCAGGAGGCGCACAGTCTACAACAGCCGCCCAATTCCATCACTCGGGAGACCGGTTGGGATGTGAACGTGGAAAGACAACAAGGCTCCGATGAGCCTAGATCGTAGACACGCATATTTTGGGATAGTTGCAAGTTTTCAGAGTAGAAATTTAGTGGAAAACGACGTAATGGGACGGGTTTTGGAATATTGTAGCACCAAGAACACACCCCGGAGTGAGCACAATCCGAAGTGTATAGCCACGAGATTGAATGGTGTCTTGCTTTGGACCCGGAAGTACACCTATTCCATTTCTGCTGTACTTTCTGTGAAAAGTGACTGTTTCTACCTGTGCTTAGTAATCAAAAATGCTCAAGACCAATGATCATTACAGATGGGCGCATGCTATGCTCACTTCCAGCGCTACCCTCACGTCCAATCTCGGTACAACAACGAATTGAATGTTGAGCCAAAATCTGGTCCTGGGTTGACACTCTGACAGCCATCTGAATCTGTCCAAGTATGATAGCGCGACTGCGGACAAATTTTAGGCATCATGGGGTGGCGTTTTAAGTGGAGTGGGGGCAGGTTCTGGGCATTCCTGTTCGGGGCTTGAGGTGGTCTCATCGGTGGCCGAGCCGGGCTGCATTGTCTGCAGTGTGCCAACTATGTCGTGCAACGTATCATACTCACTTCACATGCAGTGCTCTATTGCAGCGTCTGAGTGGTCGCTGCATCTTTGACCGGATCTAGTCCCAGGTAATTGGACTCACAATGTCGTGTTCGTACACACGGCACCGTAACATCAGAATCCTTCGCAGTGCAACCCTGAGACCGAGGTGATATTTATCTTCCCCTTTGCGGTCGCTTGATTTCTTGGTTTTTGTGCAACAGTGGCACAGGCAGCTGACAGGACGGCTTGCAGCCCGCGTATTACGGCGGCTAACGGCAACCTCCTTGCATGGGTCGAGGATTCGGACTTTTGGCATGTGATAAGTGTGATCAGTATCGAATCCATCATAGCACAGCAGACACGAGGTCCTCAGAACTCAATCAGGAGATATCCCTCAACGATAAGTGTTGTCACAGGCTGACCGGTCCTTTGGTACCCTGGCCTCCCAAGGCGACAGCATGACAGATAAAATAATTAGTAACTAGCGACCATCATACCACGGCGCTTAACCGTGCCCACCTCTTCTGCTGTTGATGATTTGTCACATTCTCGTCTCTTCAAAGGTTAGTCCTTTTCCTCTCGCTTCTGCCTGAAATCGCTCTTACCAACAGAATCCAAATGTAACCTTACGGGACCGGAGTTGCCAACAAGAAATACACACTTGCGATGCTTCAAGTAGTTGGTGCTGACACGGTCTTAGGGTGTAATACGACCCGCGGCTCTGTCTCTAGTCCGGCCCCCACCTCTGCATCCGCCTACACGGTACTTTTGTCGGCCCGTAGGGTAAGCCGGGCCGCTGGTATATAGTGCTGATGCAAGCCAACGCGGGAGCAATGTATCGATACATTGGTACGAGCCTCTCAGAAGTATTCCGCTGATGATCACATCTTTGGCCCTCCTCTCCTAGTCCTTTGCCCGAGGAGGGAGTTGGAAAGCAGATTGTGATCAGTTGTTTTGTTCTGCATGGACTGTGGTACTCTATCATTTCTTCAAGCGTCGTGCTTCAATCCATTGTGAACGCTTTTCTTCAATATTCCGTGCCTCTCTTCCCTTAATTTTCAAAAAGTCCATTTTAAAATTTGTCCATGAGAAACAAGCGTCATTCTCTACAACCCAGTCAGTCCTCATACATTATGACAAGCAACGGCGCCGATAAGGCCACACCATTGGGTCCTTCTGGCCCCCTTGGGATTCGGATTCGCCAGCAGACCGTTAGGCCAGAAGCCACGAAAGCCCTCCCAACTTTCTACCGAAACATAGAGGAGGCCCTTGACGTCCGCCGCGCGGCACAGAACTTCTACCTCATCACACAGAACAGCTGGCAAAGATATGATCATGTTGTTGATTTCTGTTCCGGGGATATTCTGGGCATGGCAGCTAGCCCGGAGCGGCGTGCCGAATTTCTGGCCGAACAAGCGGCACACCCAGACTTCAGTCTGGGCTCAACCGGTGTCCGGCTGATGGACGGCAACTACCCTTACCTGGAGGAGGCCGAGGCTCAGATTGCTGCCTTTCACGGTGCGGAGACCGGCTTACTTGTGGGCTCGGCCTTTGAGGCTAATATCGCCGTTTGGACTGCTATACCACGCCCGGGGGATGTGATTTTATATGATTCACTTGTCCATGCAAGCACTCTTGAGGGTATTAAACAGTCCCTGGCTATCCAGAAGGTCGAATTCCCCCATAGTGATATTCATGCCTTCCGCCTGGCATTACAGGACACGTTGAGTACGCAGCCACTTATACAACAGGGAAAACGGTGTGTTCTTGTTGCGCTTGAGTCCATATATAGCATGGACGGGGATGTTTGCCCGCTGGAAGAACTGATCACCGTCGCAAAAGAGGTGTTCCATGGCATGGAGGGAAATGTCCAATTTGTGCTGGACGAGGCACACAGCATTGGGGTTATCGGGCCCCAAGGGGCAGGGCTGGTTTGTGAGCTGGCTTTGCAGGATGAGGTGGCAGTGGTTGTGCATTCATATGGCAAGGCTATGGGTGCAACAGGTGGTATGTTTTTCCAGTCTTGATATGACTATAATAGTGTTGCGGCTTCAGAGTACTCAGATGCTGACGTTGCACAGCTGTCATCTTAGGAAACAAGACTGTGAAGAGCGCGCTCGTCAATTTCGGCCGTTCTATCATCTACACCACATCTCCATCATTCCTATTTGTGGCAGCTATTAAGTCTGCTTATACATTATTAAAACACGATGCTATGTCCAAGGTCAGTTCCAAACTTCCCGACAACCAAAGACAGAAGCTAACAGATCCTAGGCACAAGAGGACATCCAGGATCTCGCTACGCTCTTCTTTGATTCCCTTGCGTCACATCCCGCGTGGGAAAAAGCTCAGGAAGACGGCCTCCTTTCTGTTCCCCTCGTTGATGGGTGGGAAGAAAGGCCCTTTCTCACCCATATTATCACAATATCTACCGGTACGCATGAGAGGTACTTGTGGTGGCTATACTTCGCATTGTTATCATCTGGTGTCTGTACGTTCCCTGTGACCTATCCAGTTGTGCCTCTTGGAAAAGGTCGACTCAGGGTTATCCTTCACGCTTCCAATACCCGGGACCAGGTCAAGCAACTCGTGGATGCAGTATTTGCGTGGGTGGAGGAGATTCGGGAGATAGAGGCTAGGAATACGATAGAGAGTGTATCTAAGGCCGCAAGAGAGTTTTACGCGTGGATCAAACAAGAAGGCCTGTCTGGGTATGGATCTATTGACTAATGGCATCACTTCGCATTTTCAAATTCTAAAACAACCTCAACAGATACTACAAGTAATATGATAGAGCTGTTTGATCCAGGAGGACGAAGACTGGGTCGACTCGAATCGGCGGAGCTGCACGTTGCATGGGTTGCTCCATTGAGCGAAAGAAACATCCAAAACTGCATCACCAGTGTATTTCATTGGCCGATCTTCCCATGCGTCATACGAAATTTTCGACCCTGGCCAAGTGCTACATGGATTCTGGTTTTGGTGGTTGCTCAAGGTCTGGGCACGAAGCGGTACGTACTCGAAAACACACCTAGGGGATTTAGAAGATACCCCCCCACCTTAATAAGTGACATCCCTTGTGCAATGGCAGCCTGCATAAGCCAGGCTTGTGTACCCACGTACAGTGCCCGAGTACTGTGCGTAATTGATACCTGCCTCTAAGTACTTAGGCACTGGAGAGTATGCCTGAGCTATCGCCCTGAAACTTAGCCTGCAGTCGCTTATGCACCTAGGTAAGCTCCGGGCATCCGAGCACTTGAGCATTTTCCTGGGGGCGGTGCGCAACGGAAGTGTGTGGCAGACCCCTGGCAACAACTGGTGCACCTGCACAAGGCAGCTTGCTGTGCACATGGCAGCCTGGTGGTGAATGCCGCTACCCAAATTGAAACACCATCCCAAGGCGTATTGATAACCTTCATTCTTGAACCCTTCCCTGTCTGTTATTTCGCCCCCACCCACCCTAGGTATGTCGACCTATGGGCTGGGTGATGCCAAGTGTGCTTCGCACCAGTCAGCTCATGAGTGCAACCCTGGGCTTGGTGCCCACATGTCATTCATTGTACCCTACTCGAAGAGGTAATAAGTGGTTTCGCTTCTATTCCGTATACGTCCGAGGACATACATGGCGCCTTCATACGGTGGTAAGCACTCAAGACCCAGCGCTTAGAAAGAACACGGTGGCGATAACAATGGACATAATACGACAGGTGAGAGGTAATAAAACAGACTTATGTCAACTTAGATACATTCTTTATTGTTTTCAGATAAGCTTTGAAAGTATTTATTATACTCCCAGCCCGAATCCAAATTGCATTTTCCTGCCGTTTGCCCTCGAAGTTTGAGCTTCAGACCTCGTTGACCTTTCATCCAGCCCATTATCCTGGATAGCGCAAATCTAAGCATCCAGAAAAAGAATGATGGTAAACATGGAGCCCATAGCGGTCACCGGATTCTCCTTCAGGCTGGCGCAGGGGGCTGAAGACGAGGCCAGCCTTTGGGATGTCCTTGAGAGTGGCAGAAATGTCATGACACCATACCCCGAGTCTCGACTGAAGAACATCGATGCTTTCCACGAGGCAGACTCTGATGCCCGAAATAATGTAGGTTCTTCAATCCTGAATTGTGTACTTCCCCAGAAGAAAGGAGTTTAACCCCATGTGTAGCTACCATCAACAGGAGCTCACTTCTTGAAGGGAGATCCTGCTGCTTTCGATGCACCATTCTTCTCCATCACATCCAAAGGTTAGTAGAGTCTAAATGGGATGGGATGACTGAGCTTCATACTGAGAGAATGTAACAGAGGCGGCCGCCATGGACCCTGCCCAGCGCATGCTGCTTGAAACAGCGTATCGAGCCCTAGAAAATGGTATGTTGTTGCCACGTCAACTCTTTACTCCTACTAATGTGGTCATGCTGATCCAATGCAGCTGGGATTCCACTCGAGCATGTCGCAGGCACCAACACAGCAGTCTTCTCTGGTTCCATGATAGAGGATTACATGAGAATCACGGTCAAGTGTCCCGATGAGGCCCCGACACATATGACCACTGGTACATCGCCGGCTCTATTAGCCAACAGACTCGGTTGGTTTTTCGACCTCAGGGGACCAAATGTGCAAGTAGACACTGCTTGTTCATCGAGCATGACCGCCACACATCTAGCCTGTCAGAGCTTACAGAGAGGAGAAGCTTCTATGGTGAGGAAAACAGGCGCGAAGAATCTATGGAGAAATCATTTAGTTGACCTTTCCACAGGCACTAGTCACTGGATCCAACCTCATATTGAGCGCGGAGATGTCCATGTACCTTGGCAACCTCAACCTCCTGTCCAAGGACAGTCTTAGCTACAGCTTTGACGAGCGAGCGAATGGATATGCACGAGGCGAGGGCATTGTAGTGCTTGTGATGAAGAGGCTCAGTGATGCCATAAGAGATAGAGATGTCATTCGCGGAATCATCAGAGCAACAGGAGCGAATTCAGATGGTCGAACACCGAGTGTCACTCAGCCAAGCGTCACCGCCCAAGAGGAGCTCATCAGAGGCATACACCATAGATACAATCTTGGTCTTGAACCGACACGCTATGTAGAAGCTCATGGTAAGTTTGATTCAAAACCCCGCAGATTGCAGCATTCACGACTTATATGATTTGCACAGGTACGGGAACGCAACTTGGAGATACAACCGAAATGAAGGCCCTGGGTAGAGTCTTCAAGTCGACCCGTTCTCGAAAAGAGCCTCTCTTTGTGTGAGTGATTTCGACTGCCAGACAGACCAGAGTTCTTGGTGAAAGAAATAATCCCCTGATAAACGTGCCCAGAGGCTCGCTCAAGGCAAACTTTGGCCACACAGAGGGCGCCAGTGGCCTTGCCAGCATTCTCAAGTGCATCATGATCCTCGAAAAGGGCATCATTCCACCCAATGCATTGCTCGAGAAGCTGAACCCCAAGATACCCTCGAGGCTCGGCATTATACAGGTAAGCACCGTGGCGCGCTTCTCGTGGTATTCTTCACTTTGGAGGTATAGTGATTGAATGACTCTTATAGGTTCCTACAAAATGCATCACTTGGCCAAGTGACGGTCTGCGCCGAGTTTTGATCAACTCATTTGGGTTCGGTGGCTCCAATGCACACGCCATCATGGATGATGTGCGGAACACCTTAGAAAGTCTCGCTACCAACGAGGCTCGCCGCGCTCTAACCATCTTGCCGCTTCCGAGCCCGACACAGAATGGAAATGGCATCCCAAACGGTGATGGAATACCAAATGGTCATCAAATCCCAAGCGGTGATGAAACTCCAGTTTGTGCCAATGGAACAAGTCCTCTGTCCGTTAATTGCAGCCAGAAGCCCATCCCAAAGGGAATCGCGCGGGCAAAGTCCGAGAATGAGGCGGCCAACCATGTGCGTTCCTACCACACACATTCAAAGTACGAGCTGCTCGTGTGGTCCGCGAGGGACGAGGCCGCATTGACAACCATTTTGCAAGACCACGAGCGGTACTTCGCAGCCAACATCCATGGGCCCGGCCATAGACTGGAGCAATTTGCTTACACTCTTGCCGCTCGGCGCAGCGTCATGAACTGGAGATGCTTTGCTGTAGTGGGTATGGATGACATAAATGAGGGCCCTGCCAGGTTCCGGCTTTCCAAACAAGTCCGAGTCTCTCGTGAGAAGGCCGTAGCCTTCGTTCTCACCGGCCAAGGGGCCCAGTACGCGCGCATGGGACTGGAACTCCTACGATACCCCGTTTTCCAGTCCTCGCTAATCAGGGCAAACAAGGTCTTCTCCGAAATGGGATCTGGATGGTCTGTTATAGGTAAGAGCCGTTCTTTGAACCTGCCTTGATCTGACACTAACTGAAGGATACTGCTGACGGTCATGTTTTCGCGTGTATAGACGAGCTACAGCAGGGTACACAGCTTCACACACCCGGGATCAGCCAGCCTCTGTGCACAGCTCTCCAGCTTGCTCTCATTGATCTGCTTGACACAATTGGTCTTATTCCGCAAGTCGTGGTCGGCCACTCGTCAGGAGAAATTGCCGCGGCGTATTCCGCCGGAGCACTGTCATTTGAGTCGGCTTGCAAAGTCGCGTTCCACAGGGGCCGACTTACAGAGCAACTGGTAGAATCGATGAGGGAAGACCCCGGTGCTATGATGTCTGTTAATATCCCGGAAGCCCATGTCGATTCCTACCTGGAGCGTGCCGGGCTGGAAGTGAGACCGAGTGCCAGGGTAATACATGTCGCGTGTATCAACAGTCCAACTAACGTGACTCTGTCTGGCAACGAGAAGGCCATTGATGGACTGAAAATCTGCCTTGACAACGATGGAATATTCAACCAGAAATTGAACACAGGGGTCGCTTACCATTCACCCGCCATGCAAGCCATCGCCGAGGAGTACCTCGCAAGTATCGACTCTCTCAAGGCACGACCTTCAGCCTGCAAAACGGCCAACTTCATGGTATCCTCAGTGACTGGGCAAAGCATCTCACCAACTTCACTATCGGATGGGCAATACTGGGTGGATAACCTAGTATCACCTGTCCGATTTGCCGATGCACTACAATACATCGTCCTTGGGGCAACTAAGATGGATCACGGTCTGAAGACGGTGACGGATTTCCTTGAAGTTGGACCCCACGCAGCTCTGCGAAGGCCTGTGCAAGACACTTTGAAGCAGGCCATTGGCAGCGCCAGCTTCAGATACGCATCCCTACTGTCCAGGTTCGAGTCGCCAGTGAAGAGTATGCTCAACGTAATAGGATCGCTCTTCACCCATGGATACCCAGTCTCCATCATGACGGCAATGCAAAAAGCTGAAGACAGCGAGACACATCCAGCATACCTAAGCGATCTTCCCCAGTATCCCTTTGACCACTCCCGACTGTACTGGCACGAGTCCCGTATCAGCCGCGATTGGCGCTTCCGTGCGGCCGTCCCGAGGACAGTCTTGGGCACACAGTCGCCCGATTGGAATCCGCTACTCCCTCGATGGCGAAAGCTGCTGAGTGTGGAGGACATGCCGTGGATTGCAGATCATGTAATTGACAGCAGCATCTTATTCCCAGCGGCAGGGAGTATCATGATGGCTTTAGAGGCTGTGAAGCAGATGGCCAATCCTCATAAACACATCCTCGGCTACTTCGTCAAAGAAGCTTCTTTTACAAGCCCTATCATCGTCCATCGAGATCGAACAACCGAAGTGACGACAGCCCTGCGCCCTCTCAGCGAGGCCTACGAGAAGACTTCTCAGCGCTTCCAAGTTCAGCTACTCGCTTATATCGACACATTCTGGAGCGAATGTTTCAATGCCACCATCCACATTCAATATGAAGATCCACATACCGAGGTCGACGGAGGACAAGAAGCAGAACATGAAACTCAGCGCCTTACTCAACGCTATATGCAAGCTAAGGATGGTTCAACCAGGCACATCGACAAGCGCAGATTTTACCAGTGGCTGGATGAACAAGGCCTGAAATATGGCAAGCAGTTTTCATTGGCTGATGATGTGTACTGGGACGGCCATGCGCAGTCGTTAGCAAAGGTCAATGTTGAACCCCCCATGGAAGCTTATGCTGGTACTGTTCACCCCGCTGTCTTCGATGCGGCCTGCCAGGTCTGCTACGTCGCTCCGTCAGGAGGCATGTCGGAATCCTTGCCAGTCATCGTCCCCCACAGGATGCGGTCTACCTGGATTTCGGCCAAGGGGTGGCAGTACCCCGAGACGAAGCAAATTAGGGTGGCGACGGAGTCGAGGTTGAAAACCGTCGGTTCTGGCATCCAGGCGTCGGCCGTGATCCTGGGCGACGACGGATCGCCGCTCTGCTACGTTGATGATTTTGAGCTTTCTCCTGTTCTGAGCAGCGATGCAAGCGACAGTGCCAAGAAGGCAAAGTCACTGCATCGTATCGAATGGAAACCACAGCTGTCTTTGCTCGGCTCAGATGCGTTGCAGACCTACTGCGGTGGTCGCTCTTCTGGGGGCGAGGATGGACCTGCAGACGAAGAACTTTCCAAGCTCAGGAAAAGACTGCAGTCTATTGTGCAAGTAAACGCTCCAAAGCTAAGGGATTTGGATCTGTCAACGCTACCCCTTCATATTCAAAAATATGTGCTATGGGTTCTCAGCCAAGACGAGTCATTTCAAGACAGCGCAGTGGCAACCCTTGCTGAACCAAGCCCAAATCTCATTCCAGAGGATCTATTGAAACGACCATCCTGGAGGATCTTCTCAGAGATCTCCCAGTATCTAGCTGACATTATCGATGGCACATGCGATTCAAATGCACAGCTGCCCTCGCTACCAGCGATCCAGGACTTCCATCAAAGTCTCCTTGCCCGTGTCTGCGATGCCAGACTAGCTCGTTTCCTGGACCTTTTAGTGCATCAATCCCCCGGGCTAAAGATCCTGGAGATTGGCTCTGGGGGTGACCTAAGAGCAATCAATGGTTTCCTGTTGTCTGCACTTACCGAAGTCGAGCGTCGAACGGGTGGAGTCGCCTTTGCTGAATACGTGTACACTGACGCGTCTGCGGAGTGTCTCGACCAGGCCCTAGACTCACTAAAAGATCACAAAGATCGGGTGGTATGCAAAACCTTAGATTTCAATGGAGACACGCCCGAGCAAGGCTTTGAGGCAGGTTCGTTTGACTTGATCGTGGCTTGCTATCTTTCTCGTACAGCCAGCAATTTGTCAGCAACTCTGCGAAACATTCGACGTGTCTTAAAGCCAGAGGGTCATCTTCTTCTATTTGACATTACTGCGACGGATCCTCTCATCACAAACTTCGCCTTTGGAGTCCTGCCGAGGTGGTGGTCTTCTGAGAATGAGAAGACCCATTTTGAGAGACCTTCCATGACAGACGCTCACTGGCATTCTCTACTGCAAGCAAATGGATTCTCTGGAAACGACCTGGTCATAAGAGACTACGAGCCCGATCCTGCGCATCACGCGAGTGTCATCCTCTCAACTGCCATCGATGCGCCCACAACCTCACAATCCGTCACTCAAGGCAGGGCACTGCTGGTCGTGGATGATGACAACGAATTCCAGAGGAGTGTGGCAACAACCTTGGCCACGGATATTTCTGCCTCAAGCGGGCGCCAGACTCATATATATCCCGTCACTGCTTGCGGAGAAGCCAAAGTGGTAGGAAGCGATTCAGTGGTGTTCCTCGCAGACATGGGCAGTCCTTTCCTGGCCAATGTCCCCGAGCCCACATTCGATCTCGTCAGAAGCTGGGTACACCAGGCAAGCAACCTATTATGGGTTGCTTCTGGGGATATTCAGGACACTTCGTCATCAGCAAGCCAATTCGCCCACTCTGGTCTCAAGGATGGGTTCCTTCGAACGCTTCGCACTGAGTTCGGCGACAAGCTCATCGTAAATCTGTCGCTGGAGGAGCTCGGGCAGAATGAAGGCAGCGCCGCCAGTGCTGCCAGGCAGATCGCCAAGATTTGGGACTGCGCATTCATTGCTGCTGCTCCAAGTGCGTCTCCGTCCGCCGAGATCCAGTACCGCATCCAGAACGGAGAATTCTTAGTGCCACGCCTAGTCGAGGACATCAACATGAGCCGGGAGCTAGCCTCATGCACTCAGCCTGAAACGCGGACCGAGCCATGGCTCCCAGGACCGCCGCTGAGGCTGGACATGGGGATGCGTGGACAGCTCGAGACGCTGCGTTTCGAGGAAGACACAGAGTATCACAGCGCGCCTCTGGCGCCAGGCGACGTCGAGATCGAGGCCCGGGCGTGGGCCGTCAACTTCCGCGATATGTTCGGCGCGCTGGGGCGGCTGGAGCACGAGGCCTTCTCGTTTGGGACGGACTGCGCTGGCGTGGTCACCAGGGTCGGCCGAGGTTGCTCCAAGGTCAAGCCGGGAGACCGCGTCTGCATGTTCTTGTTCGGTTGCATGCGCATGTACCCCCGGGCAGTCGAGCGCCACATCGTCCCCATCGACGATTCGCTGTCGTTCGAGGAGGCCTGTGCCGTGATCAATCCTGCACTCACGGCCTGGCAGGCTCTGATGGAGGCAGCGCGTATACGCGCGGGTGACAAGGTGCTGATCCATGCGGCTTCTGGGGCGACGGGGCAGTTGGCTGTGCAGGTTGCGCAGCTTGCCGGCGCCGAGGTGTTTGCGACTGTGGGTTATGACCATAAGAAGAAGCTGCTGATCGAACAGTATGGCATTCCAGAGGACCATATCTTCTACAGCAGAAACACCTCGTTCGCAAGCGGGATCAAGCGGGTGACAGGGGGCTACGGCGTCGACGTTGTTCTCAACTCGCTGGTGGGAGAAGGCCTGCGTGCGTCGTGGGAATGCATAGCCCCTTATGGACGATTTATAGAGATTGGGAAAGCTGACATCAACGCGAACTCGTCGCTGCCTATGGGGCAATTCGCAAAGAATGTGATGTTCTGCGCGGTCGACCTGGGCCACATCTCAAATGACACGGGTAGCAGGGAGCTAGCAAGCAGCCTCTTGGAGAAGGTCATGAGCCTCGCTGCCGACGGCAGTATCTATTATCCTCGGCCTTTGCATGTGTTTGATGTGGGCGCGGTGGAAGATGCCTTCCGTCATTTCCAGAGCGGCCACAGCGCGGGTCGGATTGTCATCCGAGTGGAACGCGACATTCAAGTCCAGGTATGTAAATGCACAAGGATCTGTTCATTGCCTTCTTTCACATGGCTAACATGCTGGTGTCAAGAAGCATCTAATCCACCAGAGGATCTGGTCATGCAAGACTGATGCCTCCTACCTCGTCGTTGGAGGGCTCGGAGGGATCGGTCGATCCATTCTCAGGTGGCTAGTGAAGCGGGGAGCGAAGTACCTGATCGTCCCATCGAGATCAGGATTAGCAGATTCTGGACCTGCTACTGATGTCGTAAGAGAGCTTCGAGAGCAAGGCACCATGGTGGTGACACCAAAGTGTGATGCCTCGTCTCTCGACTCAATCGCATGTGTGCTGGACGAGTACGGTAGAACGATGCCAGCGGTCCGTGGATGCATCAATGCAGCCATGGAGCTGAACGTAAGTTGCACTCCAAACTCTAGACTCCAGACTCTTATTATTTCTCTTTTGTTATTCTCCTAGTCGCTCACAGAAACCTCCACAGGACTCCATTTACGACAACATGACCCATGAGCAGTGGTCTAATACCATCCGCTCCAAGGTCCCGACCTCTTGGAACCTTCATCTTCTACTTCCAGATGTTGACTTCTTCATCATGTTATCGTCTGTCGCCGGAATCCTGGGGCATTCAGGCCAGGCCAACTACGCAGCCGGTTGTACGTTCCAAGACGCGCTGGCCCACTACAGAATGTACCACGACCAGAATGCTCTATCCATTGACCTTGGCGTAATGGGAGATATCGGTGTCGTGGCAGAGAGTGAGGGGCTGCAGCGACACTTCGAGCGGACCCAAGGCCTCGATGCGATATCTGAGAACGAGTTCCTTGCCCTGCTGGACATGTGCTGCGACCCCGCGAGGCCCACGATCGCTTGCGATGCCTCCGCAAGTCAGTTGCTCGTGGGCCTCACGACACCGGCCGAGAGGATTTCCCGTATGCTAGAGCCCCTAGAACCTCTCGAGCGCCCGCTATTTTCCTACTTCAAGTGGCCCCGAGGCGGCGCCATGCAGAACGCTGGCTCTTCAGGCGGTGATGCCGTCGCGGTCGCGGAGTTGTTCCGGCAGGCGGATTCACCCGAGGACCGAGCCGCTGTGGTTGTGGATGCTCTCGTCAACAAGCTGGCTCGAGCACTCACCATCAAACCTGTTGATTTGGACGTGACGCAACCTCTGCATGCCTTCGGCGTAGACTCTCTTATTGCGGTGGAGCTACGGAACTGGATGGGGAAACAGTTTGCCGCAGATGTGCCGGTCTTTGAAATTATGGGTGGTAGCACTGTGCTAGCCGTTGGAGAGCTAGTGGTAAAAGTTAGCCACATTATAAGAAAGGCTTAGAGTATAATTATAGAGAGAAGTTAGTCTAGTATTTATATTTATAAAGTAACTTTTATATTAAATTTATTAAATTTAAAAGTAAAAAGTTATTTATAAAAATTTAATTATATTTTTAAATTTAAATTTTAATAATTTTTTTTTAAAAAAGAATTAATTATTATATTTAAATAAATATAAAATATATATTAATTAGTTTAACTTATATATAAAAAGTAGTTAAAGTAGTATAAATTAATAATAATTAAAGGTTTACTTAATTAAGTAATAAAGTACCTAATTAGGTTAACTAAACCTATTAATTAAATTTAATTTATATATAAGTATAAACCTATTAGCCTTATAATAGTTAATTTATTATAGCCTATTATTTTTATATTAGTAACTTTTTAGTCTTTTAAAATTAAAGTCTAACATTCCTTCCTTTTAGTTAATTAAAAGCTTTATTTATTAATAAAATAATTTTTAATTAAATTATTAAATTATTTAAAATTATTACTAAATATATAATTATAATTTACTTAATTTAAGTATTATAAAAATACTTTAAATTAATGTTTTATAAATTACTTAAATTATTTAAATTTAAATTACTTTAATAGGTAAAATTAAGTTTAAATTATTAATTATTTATTAAATTATTATTAGGTAGTACTAATTATTTATATTTAGTTAGTTAACCTTTTTAATAGTTTTTTTTATAGTTTAATTAGTTAAGGTACTTTAATATATATTAAGTAAGCTTTTTAATTAAAGTAGTAATTATTAAAGTTATTAAAATTATTATTAAAGTTATAGTTATTATAATTATTAAAATTATTATTTAAAGTATAATTATTTAAGTAATAGTTATTATTTAAATTAAAGTTTTTATTTAAAGTAAAGTTTTATTTAAGGTAAAGTTTAGTTTATCTTTATTTAAATAATAATCTTTTTCTTTTTATAGTTTTTATTTTTATTAATAATATAATTCTTTTAATTAAACTTAAATTAATAAGTTAAGGTAAAACTATTAAAGTTACTATTACTATTTTATTATATAATAAAGTTAGTTTAAGTGAAGTTACTACTATTATTACTTTATTAAATAATAGAGCTAGTTAAAAAGTAGTTAATAAAGAAGTTAAATACTTATTAAAGTTAAGGCTTTAACTTTAATTTAAAAAGTAGTTATTTTTACTATTTTTACTTTTTTTTACTCTTTATAAATAGTTAATTTAAGGTAGAAGTCTACCCTTTTAAATTTATTTTAAAGCTATTTAAGTAGGTTAGATTAATAGCTATTATCTTATATTAAAATCTTATTAAGGTTAATAAGTGCCTTAAATAACTTTTTTTTATTAATATAAATATTATAATAGTAGAAATACTTTTAAAGCTTTTAAAATACTTTATATTTAATTTTAAAAAGTTATTTTTAATTAATTATTAAAGAAATCTTAAAAGTTTTAATAAAAAACTTATTAAAATTAAAAATAATTATAATTAAATAATATATTAATATATTAAAAATTTATAAAGTTTTATAAATTACTAATTTCTTTTAAATAATATATTAAATAATTTTTATAATAATAGTTTATATAATTAAAAATTTAAGTTATATTAAGTTTTTAACTTAAATAAATAAATCTTTATAAATATTATTAATATACTTCTTAAAAGTTATATATAATTTTAATTTATAGCATTTATACTATAAGTAAATAATAGATTAATTAGTAGATATAATAATTATTATAAAGTTTCTTTAAAAATTATTTAATAGGTTATAAAGGTTATTATAAGTATTTATAATTTAATACTTCTTTTAGTATATTATAAAAAAGGTTATTATAAAAGAGTTTACCTATTTAATTATTTATTTAAATAATATAAAGTAAATAAATAGGCTATTAAATATAATAGCTAATAGATAGTTAAATAGGTTGAGAAGTAGTTAAATACTTAATTTAAAGGTTTAATAAGTAGGTTTAAATTATTAGTTATAAAAAAGATTATTTAATAGGTAGAAAAAGTTATTATAATTATTTATAATTTAATACTTCTTATAGTTATTATAAGAAAGATTTATTATAAAGAGAAAAAAAGTTATAAAACTTATTTAATAAAGTTTTACTTAATTAATTATATTTATAAGTATTTATAAATAACTTTATTTTTAAATTATAATACCTATAAGTATTTATAAATAACTTTAATATTAACTTTAAGTACTTTATTATTAAAGAAGTTAGTTAATAATTAATTAATATTAATTAACTTAATTTATATATAAAAATAGTTAAAGTAGTATAAATTAATAATAGTTAAAGGTTTATTTAGTTAGATAGTAAAGTACTTAATTAGGTTAGTTAGACCTACTAACTAAGCTTAGTTTATATATAAATATAGGCCTATTAGCGTTATAATAGCTAATTTACTATAGCCTACTATTCTTATAATATATTTATTAATATTTTATATTATATTAAATATAATTTTTAATTTTAAATTTAATATAATAATATTTATTAAAAGAATATAATTTAAATTATTTTTAAATATTTTATTAAATATTTAAATTATATTTTATTAAATTTAAAATTTTTAATTTTTAAAAATATATTAATTATTTTAAATATTAATAACTTTTTAAAAATAATAATTTATTTTATATAATTATAAATTTAATTATTAATATTTTTATTTATAATAAAATTATTAAAATTATAAATTTAAATAATAAAATATAATTATTTTATTTATTTTATTTATTTTATTTATTTTATTTATTTTATTTATTTTATTTATTTTATTTATTTTATTTATTTTATTTATTTTATTTATTTTATTTATTTTATTTATTTTATTTATTTTATTTATTTTATTTATTTTATTTATTTTATTTATATAATAATTATAATAATTTTTATTAAAATATAATTAATAAAAAAATAATTATTTATATAAATTTATTAAATAATTTTTAATAATTAATTATTAATATTTAATTATTTATAGTATTATTTTCTAATTATTATATTTTAATAAACCTAATTTATATTTATTATTAAATTTTATATAACTTAATTAATATTAATAATAATAAAAATATTATATTTATTAAAATTTCTATTTTATATTAAATGGATTTTCTACTTTTAAATTTAATATAATAATATTTATTAAAAGTTTAAACTTTAAATTATTTTATTTACTTTTAAATTATTTAAAATATATTTAATTAAATTAATATAAATAATAAAGTTAATATTTAAATTATAAGTAATATAATATTAAATATAATAATTAATAAACTTTATTTTACTTAATTATAATTTAAAGAGTAATATAATTATATTTATATTAATAAATAATTAATAAATAATAAACTTATAATAATAAAATAATAATTAAATAATATTTAAATTATTATAAAATTATAATAAAGTTATAATTTAAAATATAAATAGTTATTTAATAATAAACTTATAAAAAGTTTTTTACTTAATTATTATAAAAGTAATAATTTAATATAATTATTATTTTAATTTAATATAATCTCCTTTATTAATTATAAATTTCTTATAATTTTAATATTTATTATTATTTAAATAACTATATATTAATAAAGAAAGTTATTTTAATATTTATATAAATAATTCTTTATTAAATATTTATATCTTTAATTTAAAACTTTAAACTTTATAATAAAGTTCCTTTATATATTAAAATAAAATAAAATATTAATAAATTTTATATTAATTATTTTATAATTACATTTATATATTATTAATTAAATTTATTAAAAATAATATTATTTATTATTAATTTATATTAATTTATAAAATTATAAAATAAATTTATAATTTATTTATATATTATATTTATTTTAATTATATTTTAATATTATAATTACTTTTTTTTTATTAAAAGTTAAAAATTAATTTATATTATTTATTTAATTTTCTATTATATTTTATTATTAATTATTATTATTTAATTAAATTAAATTTATATTAATTATATATATAAATTTATATTTAATTAATTTTAATTAATTATATTTTACTTTTATTTTAAAATTTATAAATTTTAATATTTATTTATAACTTTTATTATAATATTAATATTAATTTTAAAGTTTATATATAATATATAAATAGTTTTAAAATTTTAAAATAATTATTTAATATTTATTATTATTATAAATAATATTATTAATTATATATAAAATATTATATTATTATAAATTTTATTAATTATAAATATTTATATAATAAAATTATTTATATTAATATTATATTATATATTAATAATTTTATTATTTAATATTTTAAGTAAAATAATTTAATTAATAATATTAAATATAATATTTAAAAGTATTATAAAAATAAAAAATAAATTAAAATTTAAAATTAATTATTTAATAATAATAATTTAAATTACTTATTATTAAATAAATTTAAATTAAAATAAAAGTAATTTTAAAAACTTTAATAAATTAAATATAAATAAAAAAATAATATTTTATAAATTAATTAATTATTTTTTTTTTAAACTTTTAATTATTTTTATTAATTTATTTACTTTTTTAACTTTTTAATTTCTTTTATTTATTTAATTTTTATTTTAAATTTTTATTCTTTTAACTTTTTATTTATAATTATTTATTACTTTAATAAAAGATAAAAACTTTATTAATTTTTATTAAGGTTAAAGTTGAGTTAATAAATTAGTAAAAATATAATAAGGAATATTAATAAGTAATAAAAGTTTAATACTACTTTAATTTATAAAAGAATAATAAAAGTGTTTTATTTAAAAGTTTATTAAAAATTATTTAATTTATTAAAATAAACTATAAATCTATTTTTAATTATTATATTTTTAGGCTTTAATTTAAATTAAAGTTTAAAAGTTAAATAATTAAGGAGAATACTTATATATTAATTTAATTAAATACTAAATATAAGGTTATAATTTATACAAAGAATATATCCTTTTAATTTACTAATTAATACTTATATATTAAGTTAATTATATAGCTTAATTTATTTTTATAAGTAGTAATATAGATAAACTTTTATTTAAGGTTA